ACGCCGTTCCTTGCGATAACAAACAATCACACACCCGCACCTAGTAAGATCTTCAGGCCCCGCCTGACACGGTGCCAGCTCAGCGGGTGCAGCCCTGCTCAGCCCACGCACACCCCAACGTGTGGCACCGACGGCGCACCCCATATTCCTCCCCTGATCTGATTTTCGTTCCGACCCTTCCCTGGTTTTTGCAGCCCCCACACGTGTTACGCATCTGGTGCACGCAGGATGAACTGCAAAGCTACTCACCAAACTCACCTGCTTTTGTTGAGGGTTCCATACATTCCAAACCCCAAAACCCCCGCTGCACACAGGGGACCAGTTCTCTGATGACTACAGGAAGATCAACCCAAACAGCAAGATCCCAGCGATAGTCGACCCCGATGGCCCTGGTAAGTCATTCAACTGCATGCTGAAACGCGCGCTCGACCCGCAACAGCCGACGCCTTCTCACTGCACGGCCCGCCTTTGACGTTGGTTGGCCTGGTGGGTGTTTTGACAAGCGCCTGTTGCTCAGCTTGCCACTATACATACAAGCACCCTTTCTGCATGTCTCTCGCGCGCACGATGTACTTAGCCCGCGGCCCGCAAGGGGCAGCCCCTTGTTGGCAACCCCTCGCGCGCGCCTGCTGGCGCGGCACTCGTGCACATTGATGGGAGAAGCGGGGTTTTGTAGAGCAGCTCAGGATGCACACTGCCGGCGCGTCGTTGGGGCGCAATCTGACCTAATGGTGTTGGACAAGCTCAAATATGTACCCTCTCATCACATCGCTCCTGGATATTTCACACACAACATATTCTGACACATGGCAGGCGGCAAGCCTCTATCGCTGTTTGAGTCTGGCGCCATCATGTTGTATCTGTCAGACAAGGCGGGCGGGAAGCTTCTGCCCTCGGACCCCGCCCTCAAGTGGGAGGCGCTGAGCTGGCTGTTCTGGCAGATTGGCGGGTGAGCGACCCTGCATGTTGACCAGGTCAACGCGCGTGGTCTGCTCCTGGTGTGCACCAGTCAATCGCTTGAGGCACAAGCTTGGTGTGCCAGCCATCTTCCCTGCTGCTTTGGCATTGGTACACAGGCGGACTGAGGGGCGTTGTGTTGTGGAACCTAGGCTTACTAAGGTCTCAACGCCCCTCCTAGTAAGGACACCCAACATGATACATGCCGCTACCCCAAACTCTGCAAGCCCGCCATCCCCCCCCCCTGCTGCCTGCCCGCCCGTGCACGCGCATACGTGTGCGCCAGCGCAGGGTCGGCCCCATGTTCGGCCAATTCGGCCACTTTCACAAGTGAGCACGCGTGGGGAATTCCCCCTTCGAAGGGGGCCGTCCCAGCCGGGTTTGGCCGCCTCCGAGAGATAGAATTTGTTTGCTGGAGACATTCCATTAGAACAGGAATCCACACACGTTCAGGACGGTTGTGTGAACATTCATGACGGGTGCATGGGTACCTGCATGCCGCGTGCCGGCCGGTGCCTCGCTACCTGACGCTGGCCGCGGTCGCGATTTGTTCTGGTGCTGCTTTGCTGACCCACCGCTTGTTGCTTGCGCCAGGTGTGCGCCTTTGAAACCTGCCACTCTTGTGCCTGCAGTGTCCCAGCGCGTCCACCCGGCCCCCCAAAAAACAAATCATACCCCCCCCCCCACAGGCACGCCCCTGAGAGGGTGGAGTATGGCATCAACCGATACAGCGCAGAGGTGGAGGGCTTTTAGCTGGAGGGGGGGGTACAAGGATGATAAGTTGGGCGCGCATGGCAGCAGCAGCAGCTTCAGCAGTAGCAGGTGCTCGCGTCGGCCTGCCTGTGGGTTGACCCCAAGCAGTTGCACACATGGTGGCGGCACACTGCGCGCCAGCCCTCTTGCCCGGCGAGGTGAGTGAAAAATCGTTTATTTGTAGCATCACCTACGCTTCCCTCACTCCCTGCTGACAGCAGACGACCGACCATATTGTTAACCCCCTCCCCTGATGTCTTTGCTGCATTTTCTTGCTGACGTCATCCTGGCGTCACCCTGACACCATCACCCTGGCATCACCCAACCCGCAGGTGAAGCGCCTGCTGGCGGTGCTGGAGAAGCAGCTGGAGGGGCGGGATTACATAATCGGGTCAGAGTACACCCTGGCTGACGTGGCCACGTTCCCATGGTGGGTGGGCGCGGTTTTGTTGCCCACACTAGCACTGCTAGTGGCCACACGCATGTTTTTGCGCTGCGGCTGATCCGTATAGGCATCCCCACCCACCTCCCCTCCCTTGAAAGCGGCTCCATGGCTCTCCCCACGCTGTGGTCCTCGGGACACGATGCGCGGCGCTGCATCTGTTGACCTACGCATATACAGACCGCCGACTGGGTGCCACACCACAGGGTGAATGTTCTGTCGTCAGAGGCCGGCTTCAACGCGGCGGACGCCCTGGGGCTGGACGCCTTGAAGAACGTCAACGCTTGGGCCGCGCGCTGCGGGGCGCGCCCGGCCGTCCAGGTGGGCGGCCCACGCTGGCAACTCCGAAACGAATGATCTGAGGAATGCGGGCTGGGCGATGGGGTCCGATTGATGAAATTTGATCGACGCTTCCAGTGTGTCGCCAGGCGTGCGTGCGTGTTTGCGCCCTGGGCCGTGCCGCCTGCACCACCGCCCTGGCTTACTTGCCGGCAGCTCAAACTGGAAACGGCAGCGCTGTTTTTGTCCTCCAAAGCAAGTTGATTTGGGGCTGTTGTTCACGGCCTCGCTACCGTTTGCAAAACCCCTCCTCCCCCATCCCAAAACCACAACCGTCAGGCGGGACTCAACGTGACACCCTTCACATGAATATGGCCGGCTGTACGCCACCTTGATGCATTTCCACATTGAACCTCGCACCTGGGCGCACCTGCTGCCGGGTCCTGCGCAACCAGCCACCTCTGCAGCATATACTGTGTGTGGTTTCGGCGTTTGTCGCCGTTGCAAATGCTGTGTCGATGCTACCGGTGCGCAAATGCTGTGTCGATGCTACCGGTGCGCAAATGCCGTGTCGATCCGTAACGCCCTCTCAGGCTCATCGGGTGACTGCTACAGGGGAATGTTGATGGCGCCTGCACGCGCTGGCACAACCAGCGGCTGCACGCAATGTCACAACAAGCGCTGGCGCGCGGTGACATCATCACCTGGCACCTGGCTGGGTGCTGCTCAGCGCCTCCAGGGAGAGAGCGCGAGCTGGGCACCAAGTTTGAGGTGGCCTCCAGGCTAACTGGGTGTGTGGTGTGCCCTTGTTGCAATACCCAGAAAACTTGGAGTGCAGGGTTTTCCTAGAGGGTGACACGCCGCCTCTCTGTCGTGTGCTGAGCAGACTGCATCCACATTCCTAACGAGGATGGATTCACCAGTGCCGTGTTGACAGGGGTTTGGCACTCGCAGGGGTAACCGGGTTGGCATTCGCAGGGACGGATGGGTGCGGGGGCAATGCATGGCTTTTGTTCAGTTGAGCGCGTCGGCGGGGCAAGTCGGTGACTAATGACTATGACTCAGTCACAGTCACGGCCAGCACAGGGGTTGCAGGGTTGTATAAGGAGGCCGTTGGGTTGGGCATGCACTGAGTCGTTGATGCTGCGACGCCCTGCGGCGCTTTCCAACTGTGCGCACATGCACGACACTGCACACGCCACACCGCTCGTGCTGCTGAGCAGTCAAATCAGGCTTGATGATGGGGACGCGTTGAGCTGGCCACGCGACCAGAAACTTCCGGATTGCAAGGGATGTGCACGAATTTGAGTCACGCTTGAATCGCATGCCCTCAACCTACCTAGCAACGCACAAGGGAGATCGATTGGTCACAACGCACAATTGATCACGGTCTGCAAGTGCATTCGATTTGATGATCAAAGCACGCGTTGAAGCGCCTGCAGCTGCCAAGCGGCGCTGCGGCGCCCCACCATCAGACTCGTGAGTGCCGGCGGAGCCACACACCACACCCAAACGGCATGCTGCGCTGCGCTGCCGCCTGAGCGATGCGCCCCATCGGAAGCTGCAGGACACAAACCTAAGTCGTTTACTCAGGCTATGTGCGCATGCATAGCTCCGTTCAGTCGGGTGTTGCTGACGCCCCGGCCCGCTTTCATGTTTGGCGCCCCCCCTCCAACCC